GGTCAACTCAAATTAATGAACAGTAATTTTTCATTTTTCAATATTCTAAATAGTAATAGAGTGCAACATATTACTAAACTTAGGAAATCAAATTAATGTTTTATTATATTAATAAGATAAAAAAGCTTTTACAAGACCGTTGTTATTAACTTATTAATTATAATAATTTAGTATTTGGCCAACAACGTCAACGGTGTTTTATCGCCATGTAAAAGATAAATATAACGTTAAAATTGCGGTAAAATAGAAAAATTGTACAACTTTTACTGAGAATTTTCAACTACTACTTAAATCGTGCTTATGAACGACAATAGATAAATTATACGACATTCACATCGTACAAACCTTGTTCTTGATTTAAATAAGCTCAGTGACTTTGCATTATGTAGTTCAATAAATATTTCGTATTTTTTTTTTTTAATTCACTGGATAGATTCAACGCTCTTATACGCAAACCTGGTTGCTCTGTTTAGAGTGTGATGAAACGCATTCAGAAAGTTTATTACTTATCGATTTACTTTTTGAATAAAGTTGTGTGCGCACATGTATAACAGCAAGTGAGAACCTCTAGCGGACGAACCTCAAAATAATTGTTTATCTCAGTTACAATCTTCTAGAATTCTTCTTGAGAAAGTTCCAGTTGTAGTTTTCAGTCACTATCCGTAATAAATACTAATAATTATACTAACAGCGTGTTATACACTAAAGAACAATAGAAAACGTCCATTTGCTACATAACAATGATTGCAAACATAATCACTATTTATAAACTGTTGTTTTGATTATTTTCTTACTATAATGTATCAAGAACGCATAAAAAAAGTTAAGTTGCGTTTAGAATTGAACAAGAAATTACTAAAAGCCTGCTAGAGTTAAGTGCATTTTCTAGTGACATAAAATTGAATGTACGTATCAATTTTATGCATATTTAAATAATATTATTTTGTATTGGTGTTTGAGTATTTTATTTTAGTAGATACCTAATTGAAGGCTTTTAATTTTAATTCCTTCTAATATGGAAAATGTTTCACGAGTGTTTCACTAAGGAATCAACAAAAGTTATTTATTTTAATATTAATATTTAATATGGTTTTGTTTTATATTTTCTATTCCTGAACAATAATTCTTTTTAAGCCGGACCTGGTGCATTTACAGCCACCGCCACCTAGTCATTGTTTGTAATACTAATTAGTCGTTCGCGGTCTTCGCTTAGAAATCGGAGTCCGATGTTGAGTAGTTGACCGATTTGTCACTAGAATGCTTAACAAATTTCAATAAAAATGTTGATATTTTCAAAAGTTAATATCGCATTATTGTTTGTTTTGATGTTTTTTGATAACTTCCCGGTTATGTTTGTTTTTGGTTACGGGTTATTTGTTGCGATATAATATGTACACCTACATATGTATGTAGTTATATTGAATAAACCGGGTGCGCGATAAAAATCAGTGACAAAACAGGAAAAGAAGTTGACTGATAAAAAATGCTTACCCATCTTTCGCTTTCTTTAAATTTCCAGAACGGAATATTCCAGGTTATCCATGGATCAGTACGGTAGGGGTTTCTATTTTTCACTTCGACAACATATTGAGGGTCCTTGTGGGACATGTCACTTTTGAAATTGTACATTTTTCTATTATTTTGTAGTACGTGCAATAGAAGTTATAAAAAAACGCGACACGACCAAACGCTATAACCAGTCATTCAACTAAGTAAAAAGCGACGTACAATACATGTATATATAGGTACCTGTGTTCTGCAGTAATATTTTGGTGGGGGAGACGCGTTCAATAGGTATTACTTGTGATATAGAATTTTATTTTCAGGGTTTTGTAAAACCCTTTTAATTTGCGTTCTTTTTTTCCGTCCGCAAAGCGGTGGCGACTTTGAATTGAATACACGCGACTTAATTTTAGTCCGAATGATTTATTTTTGGAACACGATAGATTGACGTATGTATATGTACCTATCTGAGTGCCCACTAGTAAATAGCAAATACTTAATAAATATGTTGACATTCATGTGTATGCCTATCTTCAGAATACCTAATTTTTCATCAGTTTATTTCCGGGTAGGTATGTTATGTTTGTACTTTCAAAACTTAATGTCTTCTATCATCGCTTTTGTAATTTTTTTGCGATAGGTATACTTGTTTAAAATTATTTCTGTTAGGTTGACTGAAAAATTGCAAATTAATTTTTGAGTTGAACTGGGTTCTATGTGTACATATGTTATCCAATGATAAGATAAAAGAGTCTGGTAAAATTCCTATATGAACGGTTTGTACATAAAAGAGAACGAGAGAGAGAGAGAGAGAGAGAACAAGCGTTCGGGAATATTCTTTGAGGTAATTGTAAGTACCTATGTAAATATGTAAAATGTGCACCTGTCTAAATTTAGGAGGTTCTGTTATTTTTGCGACTGATGATCGACGATGAGCTACGAGAGCGCCCGATTTTATCTTCAAAACGTGTACAAACCGATCTTATTATAACTACATGCATGTAAAAAGTAAATTGGCATTCTTTTGTCGTTGTTGCTTATTTCAAGATCTGATGGAAATTTCCACTAACTTTGCCGGTAGACACATGCCTTACCTCTATATATCTGTATGTAGACGCCGCTGGTTACCGTCAAAGGCGAACAGCTCAAACCGTCAACCGCCTAATACATAGCGATCGACGAATCTTTTTATATACATACGTTATGTATGCCTTTCAAATGTTAACGATGATGCACGAGAGAATTTATATGATTTGCCCTAATTTAGATATCTATATTATTAATCTAGCTGCATGGCAGTTAAAATTATGTATGTTGTTAGTTTGCGGCTACGTGCCATTGTTTCCGTCAAAAAAGCGTTTTTGTTTTGTCAACTCCAATCAAAAACGTGCTATTTTCGTTATATTTCCCTAATAGTATGTTCAGTTGTTATGATGCAATACGTTCGTTATCGAAGAAATTTACACCCGGAGACGTGAGGGGGGAGAGTGAACGAAGGTGTGTGTGTTGTCAGCCAATCAGCAGCAACCACCAAGAGGCCCGACTTTGACGTCACTGAGACCTTGTGGTTGTTACTACTTATGTATGTTCACCGTGACTTTACAATTGAAATGAACTCTGATAGAATTCAGTCGCCAATACACAATAAATGCTTTATTTGATATTTACGTCAACTTAATCCAGTTCAATCGGTTTGCTATCAATTAATTTCAGCGTGCAGCAACATTTAATTTGAAACGACAGAATAATAATAGACCACTACTCCTTACATACATACGCACATTATGTAGACATCAAATACAATGTTTTTTTCTTTTATTTTAATAAAACCAAACAATATGCATATACATAACTTCAAAAGTTTACAAATAATTACTTAAATTGACAGTTGTAATCCAATCGATCTTGTTGTTCTTACACGGTCGATATTAATTTTTACATTGTACATCAGAGTAAACTTTTTTCAAATGTTTCGCTATTTGCCACGACATCTTTAGTAGTAACTTCCCTGAGGCTAGGTTTGAAGGGGAAGAATTCCCTGGATCCCAGAATGTCCCTAAAAAAGTTTTTGTAACTGTTTATTTTAAGGGTCACATCGATTTTCTGAAAATTATGGTAGATATGATGTACAGGTTTGAAAAAGTAAGTAACCTAACCCAACCTAATCTGATCGATTGAGATCATAAGGTTACAATGACTGCAGCCGTTGATGTGTAGATGTTTTTTTTTATTTATTGATTGATTTGATTAGCTGTATGGGTCGTATTTGGTTAGGTATTTATTTTTATTTTTAAACCTCGAAAACGTACTTCGCGAAAGAATGGTTTCCACCCTTAACATATTCGTACAGATATGTATTTTCTTGATGAGCAGGCTGAATTGTACTACATACTAAAATGAAAAAAAAAAGTGGAGGTGCGTCCCTATAGTAAATATTTACCTAATTATTTAATAAGAAATTATTGTTTGTTATTATTAATCCCGAAATAAATAATTTGGTTTTATGGTAACTTTAGGTTGTTCTCGTTCAAAATTATCGTAAAATGTAGTTTTCAGAGTTTGCCTAATTGTAAGATTGACTCAACACTTATACATTCTTCGGCTTTTCACTAGGTAGGTATAACATTTAAACTAGGTATTCTATTGTTAAAAACGATTAGGGTCCTTGACACCGTGTTTCTCTAACCAGGCAATACGTCACATTAATTTTGTAGAATTTGTTTTTGCATCGTTGCACGTAGAAATTAAAATCAGTAACTATCAACAAAAGTATATACTAATTTGCGTAATGTTGTAAATAAGTGAAAGTTTTTTGTACACACATATGTAGGTATAACTCCGTACTACACGTACCTTCTATGTACATTGTACATACACATATATTCAAATTCTAATTTCAAATTTTTAAGATACTTCAATTTAGAAAAGTATTACTTTTGGTCAAAGTCAAATGAATAAATTAGAAAGAAATATATTGTTTAATGTTATATTCCGATTTCATAATTTTAAGTAACATCCGGTAAGTTTTGTGCACAAATTCAAAACACATGTACATTTCTACATACGTATGTAGTACAGTAGACAGTAAAGTGTATAGTACATAAGGTACAAATAATGTTTTGTTCTGGGATATACATAGATATCTACATCATATTTTAAATGTTATCGCATACCTTTTTAATTCGATTGCATAAACTTTTTAATGTTGGATTTTAAAATGCTGAATGATCAATCTATTAAACAATTTGCTACCACATCGCAAGAAGACCCTAAGTAGGTAATTATCTCTTTGTCAGCAAAATCAAGAAAAGGCAACTTTACCTTTTTTTTAATTATAAAATTTTTACAACATAAAAGAAAGAAAATACCCTTTTCATTGGTACATTTATGAACGCATATACAGGTATGTTGGCACTTAAAACTTTTTTGTATTATATTATTCCATGATTGTGAAATTCATTCTTTAAAAAATGTCTGGTATGTNAATTTTTTTAAACTTTAATTCAAAATATCGGATGTACTGCAAGGCAGCTTTTCGTTTTCACTTGTTAAAAAGGCAACTAACGGTATAATTATGTTAAAATCATTATTTTCTATTCTCCCTGTATATTGATCGTCTCCATCAACGGTTGAGTCCCCGCTATTCCATTACAACTCTTCGATAAAAATTCAAAAGGTCATTTCTCGAATCGGACGTAATAAAAGTATCAAGAAAATTTGAACGGTAAATTTGGTTTGACTTGCAACTTTGATCCTTTTAGATTTTTAACTTTACGCAAGTGCTGATTGACGTTACTTATCACGAGTTACGTATTTGGTGTTTATATACACATTTCCTTATAGTTTTATTCATACATTTTTAAGAAAATTGAAGAATTTGAAGTTCATTGCCACGGCTATTCTTCCAAATTAGTACTTTAATAACCAGGAAAAAATAGAACACGAACCAATTGAACCAGTTTCTGTCCGCTGAGAAATATTTAAACTATCGTTTCACGTTAATTAAAGAATGTTGACTTTTAAACATTTATTAAATTGTTTTTTATCTTATACGTTTATTATTATTGAGACAGTTTCTAAGATAGACAGCGACGTTATCTCCGGGATTTTTACCACCCAAAAATTTATAAATGCCAAATACAGTTCTGTTTGAGAATTTCTTGATAAAAAACGCCCAGATCAGTCTCGTCCTCGTACTTGTAACCTTACGGTTACCTGAATAGGTGAAGCCTCAAGGGTGTTCATGGAAAATCAATCAAACTATGCACTTGATGCAGGTGCGTGTAAAGAATTAAATCGTCCCACTTACATTTTTTCTTCGCCTAAAAAACTTGAATTCACTTTCATTTACGAACTTGATATAGGTGCATTTAATATATAAATCAATCGGCGGAATAGGCATTTTTCTATAAATATATGTACTTTTTTTATGAATTTCGCAACACAGAAAATTACCGTATGATAATAATAAAACAAAAGTATATCCATATAAAAAAATAATATCTTTACCGCATGAGTTGCCGTCCTTATAAATAGTGGCATACTTGATGTGCACTTAAATAATTGATTTTCGCATTTTCTAAAAATGATCTTTTGCGTTTAACGAATATCATTACATTGACGTTCCTTAGTAGACAAAATCTTTTATAAGTTATATAAGTAACGGCATAATAACCTTAATATGATTTGTTATACCAAATAATTATTTCATAAGATACAAACAATTCTATTAACCTACACGCTTAATTTAAAATACTGTAATTCAGTGCTGAATTATTTCTTTTTTAAAACTAAATAAATGTTACGAATTGTAACTGAAATTAGTATCTCAAACTTGGATATATTTAATGCATACTGAATATACATATTTAAAAAAGATGTTTATTTGAGAATTGACGTGTTATTAAAAAAAAAATTGTATTAGCGACTTTTAGGCTTTAGATTTTTTATACTGTAATGTCAACATTATCGTAACTTCAGAACTATTGGAGTTAGACCCAGCGTTAGTGTCTTCGTAAAATTTATGACGATAGCTTCAGTATTTTCAGGTAAAATCAGACAAATACAGATTCTTTTTTAGGTATTTGATTCGTTTCAATATTATGAACAAATAGGTGTTTAGGTAAGAGTTGAATTTATTTCTATGATTTAGTTAATTGTATTTCGTAAGTAGTCAACTAACTGGTCAGTTATTTGATAGATAATATTGAAATGAACTTTGTGCTTATTTTCTTAGACATTGCACCACAAAAAAGTAACAATTTTCACCAAAGCAGAGAAATCTCTAATCAGTCTCATTGTCAAGAGAACATTTATAAATCTACTTCATACTAGCTTTGATCCGCGACTTATTTCGCGTTGATTATAATAAATACAATTATTATAAACAATAACCAATTAAACAGGCATTACTTTTAGATTTCTCCTGATATTCATGTCTCCTAAGTTTCATCGAAATCATTTTGTTCCTTTCGAAGATTAGCTTGTACAATAGACAATAATTTTTTAAGGATCGAGTATTTAAATAAGCATATGAACTTAAAAAATGCAGTTATTTTAATATAGCAGACAGACACATCAATTTTATTTATATAGATAGAATGTATCTCTTGAAAAATGTTGAAGTTTGATTTAACAGGATATTCAATTAACTTCAATCTGTTTTATTATAAGTAAAAGTAATGGTCGTCTACTTGGATCTTATATAGGGAATTAATGATTTTTGCCACTTACTTGTCGAAGTATTGACGGTTTCTGGACGGTTGTTTCCTTATAAATGTTTATGCTGCAAACGCTACCATCGTCGTTGATTGACCCTTTTCTGGACTCATCATTTTCAACCAGCTTTTCCTTGTTTTTAAGCGGTTGAATTTCGGGTTGCGCCACCCTTAAATTTTCGTCCACAGTCACCATTCTCCTGCTATTGTGTAACGTTAAGGACCCAAAAGGGTGATGTTGAAGATCTAACGAAGATAGATTGGTTGCTGTGGTACAGGCCGAAATGGTTGGACTGTCAATTTTCGTCAATAAACGATGCTGACCGTTCTAAGAACAAATAAAATCTGTTGACGACCATTACGGAAAAGCAATTTTATATTTTTTGATAAGAGCTGTATGGCTACCACGTGAAGAAATTGACCTCTGATTAGTGATTACAGTTTCATCACGATAAAAACAACTATTAAAGAGAGACGTGTGAAGACCCCGCAATATTTAATTCTCAAAAACGCTGCTCTCTACATATAGAGTGATTCACTCTTTTTAGTATTCATTGGGATTGTTCGACTTTTTTGTAAAAAATCCGTATTAAGCTTATGTGGTGGAAAAAATTATTACCAATTTTTCTCGTTTACGTAATTCATTATATGATAAATTTTTTTAAACTTTAATTCAAAATATCGGATGTACTGCAAGGCAGCTTTTCGTTTTCACTTGTTAAAAAGGCAACTAACGGTATAATTATGTTAAAATCATTATTTTCTATTCTCCCTGTATATTGATCGTCTCCATCAACGGTTGAGTCCCCGCTATTCCATTACAACTCTTCGATAAAAATTCAAAAGGTCATTTCTCGAATCGGACGTAATAAAAGTATCAAGAAAATTTGAACGGTAAATTTGGTTTGACTTGCAACTTTGATCCTTTTAGATTTTTAACTTTACGCAAGTGCTGATTGACGTTACTTATCACGAGTTACGTATTTGGTGTTTATATACACATTTCCTTATAGTTTTATTCATACATTTTTAAGAAAATTGAAGAATTTGAAGTTCATTGCCACGGCTA